GGGGGGGGGGGGGGGGGCGATGTTACCGGGGAGTCCTAAGTTGCCCAAGTGTAATGAATGATACACGAGCACCGAACACAGAACCAAACACCGTGTCACGTAACGGATGCAGAATGCTGTCATTGCGTTGACCCTCCCACGTGTAACTCCCCTACTTCGGAGTAATATATTCCGCGCTAGGTAGTTGATTCGGAGTGACCACAAGGACACAACCACATAACAACTCCTTCGAGTGTGGAGCCATATCCCGAACGACTGGACTCGAGTCGCCTGGTACTTGCTTCTTCTTGTTGCACACACACGCAGCAGCAAGCAACTCTCCACATGGCGACTCTAATCCACACAACAACGGAGGGGGGCGCTTCTGGACCGTCTGCGGACCCGACAAAAAACAACCCACACCAGGGCGAACATCTCACCTCGACCCGGAATCCCCTCGTCTCGCCGCCCGCCTGCTGCCGTTGTGACACTTGGCAGGAGAGGGATAAGCACGGTGCGCCCTTCCCGTCTTGTCGCACGCGGGGGTACGCAGGAGCGCGGGTTCCTCGCGCGGACCGCACCCGTCCGCCGTCTGGTGGCCGTGTAGCTCCCTCACTCCAACCCGAGTTGCAGGCGTTCTCGGCACGCTCGACAGGTGCGACCCGTTGTCCCTGCGCGCCTGTCTCGGGTCGGACCCACCTGGCTCTGGCTCCCCATCGCCGTGGGACAACGCTTCGCTGGGCAGGTCTCGCCGGCCACCCGCCTCGCCCACTCCCCTGCCCCCGACACCATGAGCAGCGGCTTTTTCCATGCGAGCCGTTGAAGTCGCCGGCAGCTGAAGAGGCGTCGGTTCCGACGCCTTTTGCGCCTCTTGGGCCATAACCTCGTACGGTCGCAAGGCAGCAGACGAGGGCGCCGAAACGGAAACGATGTTTGCGACGGCGGAGGCGGTGGCAGCAGTGGCAACGGCGGTTGTGGTAGCCACCGCTTGTCTCCGGCCGACAGCGCCACCGGCGGCGGAGGGAAGGCGTGGCGACAGCGACGACGACGGGCTCGGTGGCCTCCCGATCCGTTGCCGCCGGTCGCGGGGGCTCGTGCCCGTCACGCTTCTCCTGCTTGGCCTCGCGTCAACCTCGCCCCTGCCGCCGCCGCCTCCGCTGTTGTCGAAACCCGAAGGGCTTTTCTTTCCTGTGGTCGGCGGGGTCTGGCGGGACCGCGGGGTGCCCTCCTTCCTCCCGACCTCCTTCTTGCCGCCGTGAACGCCGGTGTCGTGCCAGCCACCGTCCTGCCGCAGCATGGAGGCGGCCGTCGGGGTCCGCGACTTGGGCACGGCCGCGGCGGGGCCGCGACCGGGCTGCTGTCTTTTCGAGGAGAAGCCGATGCCGATGCCGCCGCCGTTACCGCTACCGAGGCGCGCCGACAGCAGCGCGGAAGACTGCTCCCAGGACCGAGAGACGGGGAGCGACAGGGCAGAGCTCGCGGGGCTCGCCAGCGGCGGCGTGGCGGCGGCGGTGCTGCTGTCGTGGCTTCTGTCTGCCTTTCGTCGCTGCTGGTAGGTGCTGCTGAGGTCGCTGCCGCGCGGAGAACTGGAGGGCGTCGCCGGAAACGGCACCCCGTAGCCTCCGGCGCCGGCCCAGTTCCTTCCTCCCCCTTCAGGCGCAACGAGCGACACCGTTTCCGCCGCTGCTGACAGCGAGCCCACGCTGCTACTCCGGCTGTGCTGACGCCGGTCAGGCGCGATCATGTGGGGCACCCCCTGCCTCCCGGCGGAGATACCTATTGCGACGACCAAGGCGGAGAAGGTCGATGAGTGAGCGAGACATGGACGTGATGCGCCACCCCGGGATGGGAAGTTCGCGGTCCCAAGCAATCGATTCTCGAAGGTTTATGGAAAACAACGAGCACACGACCTTAAGAGTGTACCGCGGCCGGTGCACCGGCATAACCCTTCTCTCAGCAAGCCCAGCTTGTGGGGTAGACGACGTCCAAGGATATGATCCAAACATTAAGCAAAAAAAGAAACAACACTCCAAACCCTAACTACTGCCATGCCTTCTCTTACCTTCGTTCTGTCGCCGGGGGCGCCCTCCCAACATAGCCCTCGCGCGCGCTCCAATGGTTTCCCTCGGGCTGCTAGAGGGAACGCCGCCGCCGAACCCCTCCGCACTGCCCCCGCCCCCGCTTCTCGGCCCACCCATCATCCCCAGCCCCCTCAAGATCTTAGACCTTCTGCCGCGCACGCCCTTGCTCGCGTCGGGCCCCGACCTCCCGTTCACGCTCACCCGGGAGGAGCCATCCGGGCTCGCGCAGATCGAATCGTTCCTCGGCACGGTGGAGACGCTGCCCGCCAGGCTCAGGTGCAGCCCCGACCCCGCCGAGGAGGCCATCGAGAACGGCGAGCCCGGAGGGTAGATCCCGCCGCCGTCCTCCCCGTCATGGCTGTCTGCGTACGGGGCAATCAGGGTGTGCCCTCTCCCGCCCCACGGAGCCCCCAGGACCCCAAACGTGCTCCCGCTAGGTCCGCTGGCCGCTCGGCGGCGTCTTCCGCCACCACCGTCACTGTGGTTGCCGCCGAGACCGGCGCCAGGCGACCGGTGATTGCTGCTCCTGCCCCACCCTCCCACACCGCCGCCGGCCCATCCCTTGGAGCCCTTCTTTCGGCGGCGCCCGCTGGAGCTCCGGGTGAAGGGCCCCGAGCTGCTGGACCGACGGACCGGGCTCCTCCCGCCAGCCCCGAACCACTCCTGGTCCTCGCGTGGGCCGCCCGGAACAGCGCCGGCCGAGTTGGGTGTCCCCACCAAGGGGCGGGGAGACCTCGCATGCGCGCTGCCGTCCTGGGCCCCGCCGTGCCACCGGCGTGAGTGCTGCTGCTGCTGCTGCTGCTGCCAATCGCCGCTGATGCTGCTGCTGCGGGTGTGGCGCGGAGAGGGGGCCGACGTCTCGAGAACCTTGAGCCGGGTGCCGGAAATTGGGGTTGGCCGGAGCATGGTCGAGACCGGCCCCGCGCTGCGAACGGACTCTTCGAGGCGGAGGGCCGTCCGAGGGATGACGACCAGGATCACGAAGCTGTAAACGTCTTTCCACGCCTGGAGCACGTGTTCGGGCACAGAGACGGGCGGGTGCATGTACTCATGTACTGCATGCTTTGAGTTATTAGAACATTGACCGCGCATCCATACAACGCCGGGACAGAGCGATACAACGGCTCTCGCTGGCCCAGGCTACAGGGAGGGAGGGGAGTGTTAGTCGAGCAAAACGGTTGGGTCATGCCCGCAGTACAACCTAACAGGCCCTGTTCACGTACCAGCCGGAGAAATTAGGCCCGGAATCGGAAGGCGTTCAAGGCCTCTGAAGGACGGGAGGGATAACAGCGTTGGTCAGACCCACCCAACTCCCACTCCAACCGTCTGCCCGAAAAAAATGTTTGTCAACGGTTGAGAGGATGTCCCTTGCTGTGCCCACCTTCATAATGATCTCCATTTGTGTTGGGTCTTCATCCTGGGCCGTAGCACGCAAGGCGTGTTGGAGGGCGTCGCCTCCGGCTTCGTCTGCCGAAACACGGAAGGCAGGAACAAGCATACGTTGTTCGGCCCCTCAGTCCAGCAAACAAGCACATCACCGTTCGGATATCAAAAGATAGCCTCGCCGGCAACAACCTTCGGCCAACGTTTGCGTGAAGCAGGACTACACTCCCGACAGGCAAAAACAGCGGCACTACTGTTGACCGTTACAGGCGGGG